CCAGGCAAGGAGAAGCGGACCCGATCATTGACCTGATAAGCGACTATTCGCTACAGAGTCTCCTGCCTCGAGGGACGAAGACGTGGGAGAAGGGCACATCGACAACAACGATCGACTTGGTACTGGCCAGCAACGAAGTAGCAAGCAGAATGATGCACTGTGACGCCTCCCAGACAGAGCACGGGTCCGATCACCGAGCCGTCGAGACGACAATAGACATGGATATGGTGGACTGTCAGCCAAGGGAGAGGTTGCTCCTTCGCAACGCACCCTGGAAAGAGATCAATGGCCGGATCGAACGAACGCTAGAGATGATACCGGCCGGGGAGACGGTGTAACAAAAGACAGACTACCTGATGTCGGCAGTAGCCGAGGCAGTCCACACGCTTACACCCAAGACTAAAGCATCACCATATGTGAAGCGGTGGTGGACAAGTGATCTGACCCAGATGCGATCCGTGTATACGTATTGGAGAAACCGGGCGAGAGCAGAGCGGAGAGCTGGCTGCTTCTCTCAGGTGCTCGAGGACACAGCAAGAGCAGCTGCGAAGCAATACCACACCAGCATTCGCGAACAAAAGAGAAAACACTGGGATGACTTTCTAGCCGATGAGTCCAACATCTGGAATGCCGCCAAGTATCTAAAATCGCAAAGTGGAGCCTCGTTTGATAAGATTCCTCAGCTGACAAAGCAGGACGGAAGCCAGACAACTAACACGAATGAACAATCAGAGGAATTGCTGCGTTGTTTCTTCCCTCCACTGCCCGAGGATATTGCAGACGAGAGAACGGCGACGGTAAGGGAGCCAGTCAGTATGCCCGTTATCACGCTCGACGAGATTGAACGACAGCTGTTTGCGACGAAACCATGGAAGGCACCTGGTGAAGATGGCTTACCGGCGATCGTCTGGCGACAGACGTGGCCAGTAGTCAAAGACAGGATACTAGCACTTTTCAGATAATCACTAGCCGAGGGTGTGCTGCCTCAACAGTGGCGACATGCCAAGATCGTCCCGCTGAAGAAGCCCGGCAAGGAAGACTACACCATCGCCAAAGCGTGGCGACCAATCTCGCTACTGTCCACCCTAGGCAAAGTGTTAGAGTCGGTCGTGGCGGAAAGGATCTCGTACGTCGTAGAAGAGCATGGTCTGTTGCCCACGAACCATTTTGGTGCAAGGAAGCGCAGGTTAGCAGAACAAGCAGTGCTTCTACTGCAAGAGTACATCTATAAGGCGTGGCGACGACGGCAAGTAGTGAGTCTGATTAGTTTTGACGTCAAAGGCGCCTACAATGGCGTGTGCAAAGAGCGGCTCATCCAGAGAATGGAAGCCCGAGGTATACCGACAAGTTTGACGAAGTGGATTAATGCATTCTGTTCTGATCGCACCGCCACAATCGAGATCAATGGCCGTACGACTGAGAGCCATGAACTTCCACAAGCAGGGCTGCCACAGGGCTCGCCGCTGTCGCTAATTCTTTTCCTGTTCTTCAACGCAGACCTCGTGCAGCATCCCATCAACAAGACAGGAGGATCCATCGCATTTGTGGACGACTACACAGCATGGGTGGCAGGACCGACTGCGCAAGCCAACGAGGCAGGAATACGAGCAATTATCAACAGAGCCCTCGACTGGGAGGGTCGCAGTGGCGCCACATTCGAGGCGGAAAAGACCGCTATCATCCATCTCAGCAGAAAGGCGGCCAGAGTCGACAACAACCCTTTCCTGATCAAGGGCGAGAGGGTATATCCGCAAGACAAGGTCAAAATACTAAGAGTTACGATGGACTCTCAGCTACGGTATAGACAGCATATTGCACGAGTGTCGAGCAGGGCACTAGAAGCAGCCATTAAGCTCAAACGGTTGAAGGGCCTGCCACTGGCGACGGCCCGACAGCTGTTCACCGCCATGGTGGCTCCCATTTTGGACTACGCATCAAACGTGTGGAGATATGCGTGCGGCGATCGGCTGATGCATATCGTCAACAGAGTACAGAAGGTGGGCGCACAAGCGATTATGAGCGCATTCAACAAAGTGGCCACGGCAGTCGCCGAAGCCGAAGCACACATCCTGCCAGCTCGAAGTCGCTTCGCCAAGCGGGCGATCAAGCTATGGGTCGACATCCAAACACTACCAAGTAGTAACCCTCTTCGGACGGCAGGATTCCGGATGTTCACACGCTTCATCTCGCCGATGCAGCAACTTGCAGAAGACATGAGCGAAGTGCCGATAAGCAGACTGGAGACGATTGACGCGTATGCTGCTGAGCCGTGGAACGAGCGAGTCGAGGTCATCACCGACGAGAGCGAAAGAGCCATTGAGCTAGCTAGCGGGCAACGGGCAATCCGCATCGCTACCAGCAGCTCAGCCAAGAATGACCTGGTCGGGTTTGGAGTGGCTATACGGCTTCCGGATTTTGGCTGGGCAAAGACCAAATTCATGTTATACTCTGTGACTCTCGGGACAAGAGAAGAGCAGAACCCTTACACAGCGGAATTGGCCGCAATAGTACGGGGACTGCGAAAGGTGCCACAACACGTCCGGCAATGCGTACTTATAGTGTTCACGAGCAACAAAGGTGCTGCACTGAGTCTCAAACACCCGTGGCACCAGTCCGGCCAGAAAGAGATTGCAAACTTCTACGCGTGTGTAAGCCAGCTTCGAAAACGGAGTAACAAGGTTGTTATTGCCTGGTGGCCACAAGAACATGATGAGAACAACGGCGACGAAGATGTTGACAATGGCGCCAGGGACACCAACAGAAATGGAAATTTCGCTCTAGCACGCTTGGCCAAGGAAGCTGCTCGCAAAGCCACCCTCCCTGGTAGCTTACCACGGACACCACCGTTTCGAGCCAAATCGACCACATTGAACAATGCCAGAAAGATACAAAGCAGAATCCCGGTATTGCCAGACAACATCGGTGCATTCTCCAAGCGGATTGACATAGCTTTACCCGGACGACACACCCGGCTACTGTACGATGCATTATCATGGAAGGAAGCCAGCATTCTAGTCCAGTTGCGGACAGGAATGGCGAGGCTTAACCACTATCTAGCTCAAATTGGAGCAACAACATCACCAGATTGCGCCTGCGGATACGGAAGGGAGACTGTAGAACACTTTGTCATGCGCTGCACGAAATGGACCGCACATCGTAAAGATCTGCTTCAGTATACAGAAGACCGAAGAGGAAGTATCTCGTTCTACCTTGGTGGAAAGACCTATAGTGACGACAACAAATGGACACCAGACCTCAAAGCAGTTCGAGCAACAATTGGATTCGCAATCGCCACAGGACGATTACAACAGACGGTGAAGGAAGTCGGGAGTTAGGCTTAGGAGAAAATCATGCACAAAGGACATCCCAAACATATACTAACCCAGCAGGTCGCGCTTCAGTCGCCGAGGATAGGACTCTGAACACTTGGAGAAGTCAACTTCAAGTTGATCTGCCATGCACTAACAACTAGCAGTATCATACAGGGATGTCGAGGACCATAAGTGGTTTTGGATGGTTGATTATAGTCTTGCAGTATGGGCTCGAATCGGAGTCAAGACGGAAACATGAGAAGCGTTTTTGTATCATAGCGTTAGTTGCCCTCTAGGGGAATGACCCGGGCGTAATAAACATGTGTGTGTGTGTGTGTGTGTGTATACACACTAACCAGAAAAGAGGGGGTATGTGTCAGCCCAATGCAGGGAGGAGTTGATTTGGCATTGGCAATTAGTCGTGCTTCATCTAGAGGGTTTACGTACTCGAAGGGAAGCGTGCACGAGTATTATCGTACCGCTACCAGTTGACCGACCCCATGCTCAAGTGCAGTACGAAATGAGTGATAATCAGAAAAAAGCTCCACACTTTTTGTTGGGATGGACCGACAATGATTGATGGAGATGCTATCGTGCGGCCTGTTGGGCGCACTACCATGTTATTGATTGTTCAAAGCTTTCGCCAGATCCATTACAAGTTGTTCGAGGGAACAGAAGAAAAGCAGGGTGGGTGTTGTGGTCGCCAAACGATCCAACAATGGCAGGAGTTTTGGGAGTAATGATCTAGACTGTAAAGATTCGGTGCACTAGCTCACAACGTAATCAACATTGGCCAGAATTCGTCAATGAAAAGAGGATGCTTTGATCAAATGTGTCTTTTACATGGATTCGGATCACAGCATGACCGATTGATGGTGGTTGGATCGCAATAACATAGTTGCTCATGCGGGACGCTCCTAGCCTCTAACCGGCAACCTGCAGAATTGCGGCTGTAGCATGTGACGCCTATTATACCGACGCATATCGCCCATTGAGCGCCGCAATGTTTGATGCCTGATCAGCAAGCCTCTTCGATGAGGAAATTTACGGGTGGAGGAGCTTAGACCATCGTTACAGAAGCAATTCAGGCCCCGTTAGCACCTAATGAGTGCAAAACGGGAAGAAGTGGCAGCACGTACCATGACATCAAAATGAGTTCAATGAAAAACACTCCAAGTAAAATACAATCAAAGCAAAAAAAAAAAAAAAAAACCACCGCCCCCCCACCAAATATCCATATATTTCGTGGAGGTTACTGACGACAACTGCGTTGGTCCTTTTGAACCCCGCGTCGACGGCAGCGATTAGTGGAGCTACACCACTGAAAGCGCGATAACGGTGGTTGCCGGTATATGAATATAAGTCCAGCATATTCGAATGTGCTGTTCGAGCTCGCCTTCCAATATATTCAGTGGTTCTAGCGTTGACTTCTACACGATTTCCTTCATGTCTCATCATAGGCTGATGGACCAGATTGAATATTGTAGCTTTTTGGCCTCGCCATCGTTCTCAAAGCATTATGTTATTTTAAATGCCAAGTTCCGAAGCTGCTTAGGTTGTACGTTCCCAGAGATCAAATGTGCAGCAACCGGTGTACATCAATGCAGAACGAAATGTAGCCTGGAAATAAGGATAAAAGCTGAACCTGATGTTATGTTTCAAAAGACGCCTGACGTGTCGCAAAGTACTCTACGAATCACCCAAGATTAGTGCCTGCAAAAGGTTTTCGACAATTTTAGCGCGCAGGAAAATGCCTTTCGCCCCCCAGTAGGCCCCTTTTTGAATCAGAAGTTTCGCTATGTAAAATTTGCCGTTTTTGATAGCCCACCACAGGGCCGATTGGCCCTTAACTAATCGATTGATATCTTGCATGCGCTCGCAAACCTCACCAGCCAGACGCAGGTATTCTCTCTCACGGGTCGGAAGGCAGCTCAGAGCCAGGATTGGGGCCTCTTGCGAGCTTCCAGGCGTCTCGTCAACTGCTGCACCTGCGTCAAGGAGCAGCTGGGCTATTTCAGGTGTACTGTAGTAGATCGCTTCAGTAAGGAATAGATATGTTTCGGTGAGTCCATTGACAGTGTAACTCGGATTTGGATCAGCGCCGGCATCGAGAAGTGCCTTAACGATAGCCGGCTGCCGACAGTGGATTGCATGTGCTAGAGGCAAGCGGCGTGGGTCGCTTAGTCTTGGGGACACCTCAACTCCGGACTCGACGAGATAATGAATTGTAGACAACGTGTCCGGAGTCATGTCGCCAAACTTCAGAACACCATCTGTACCTACGCTGTAGGTTGTAGTATACCATTTAGATGGGGTTGCTGTCCAGCCGTGGCGCTGAAGATAATGAATGCGAATGAGCGAGACAAGGGGCCCCTGCTTGTTCTTCTCAAGATTGCCGTTGATTTGTGCTCCGCGCTCAAGTAGGAACGATGCCTGTAATGCTCTGCGTCTTAGTATGTGTTCTAGTGGTAAGAGTAGATTCCCAGTATCCAGCTCATTTTGAGTCAGTTGGGCGACAGAAGACTTACAACACTTGCGTTCGTTGCGTAATAGATAGGGGTATTTCCCTTTGTATCAGTACTCTCCACGTCAGCGCCTTCGGCAATCAGGGCTTCAGCGATGGCTGTGCTGCCACGCAGAGAACAAATATGCAACAGGGCGCAAAGCGCGGTCTGGAGAATTGGATAGACTGGGATCATGCCGTAGTCCTTCGTGGTGACGATGCCTCTTGATGTGCCAAATAAGTCAAGCTTGGAGACGTCAAATAATCGATTAATTACATCTCTAGGACTTTGCTTTATTTTTTTGATCGCCGCGATTGACATGGCATAAGACTTATATTTACCATACCAAGAACTGAACTGCAATGCAAAGGGGACACCCTCATGAGCGTGATCTTTGGCATCGTTCACATACAGTCGAGTCAAGACTTGCTCTTTCATGGTACGAGAAGTCATCGCTAAAGCTAAACCGTCTTTGTATGGTAACATTTCCACGACAAAGGAAAGAAGCTCGTTTGGTAGATCTAAGATTCCATCAGCGGAGGATCTTGATCCCAATCGTCAGAGCGTTGGCAAGATTTTGCAACATGTCGGCTATCTTGTTCGACTCCTTCAGTCTTGGATACCAGATCACGAATCATTTTGTGTGTTTATGGGAAATATACCTTGCAAAAAAGTCCTGTCTTTTGAGTAGGCGTTGCGGCTGTTGCCATGCGCGATGAGGGTTTGCTGTTTGATTTTATCATCCTCCATAGTTTCGTGGACCTCTGATCGGATAATGGAATGATAGGTGGAAACAACATAGTGGGAAGGCCGCCCTGTAAATACGTTTCATCGCACGTCACAAATGGAAGCTTGAAGCCTAGACGCAGATCAATTAATGGATGAGGCATTGCGTTCATTATATATATAACATATGTTCTGTGTTGTGTACAAGCCGATTCTTGCCCTGAACTAAGGTGACCCTACCTTCGTGGGTTAGGCGAGTCCGAAATGTGCTTATTGGCAATATCTCCTCCTATAACTGACTGACATTCAACAGGTGACTGAGGGTCCTTCCAGAATTCAACAGAATTCAACAGAATTCGTTACCATTTAGCTCTAACTCGGATGTCGTATAATGTACCAGAACTGTAACATTGTTCATTCAAGTACTGCATTACCACTTCAAAGTAAGTGGGACGGGCTCACTAATGTTTGAAGTTCTTGACTATGATAACTCCGCCCAAGTTGAAGCGCTACATTGCACTGATTGTGCGGAATGTATGGAAAATATGGCCGCGAGAGAGTCAGTGATCCTATTATTTCTTGGAGAAATATAAAGTGTATGCGTTATGAAATCGCAGCAGTCACAAGTTGTGGAAGAGCTTGTAACAAACTATTTCTGTTGAATACCTATCCAGAATTTCCAAGCTTCTTTTGATATGTATAGACATTTTTGTTTTCTCCCCTTGGTATTTCTTGCATGATATCTACCCAGTAATTAATGACGACTATAATTTGACTCCCAAGAGAAAACCTTGCTTAGGATCCCTTGTCCATAACTAATTAATCCCAAAGAAAAAGCAGAGCTGAAGATGTCAGACTAAGAATACTGCAAATAAAAATGACAATAGAAGTGGCAAACATGGGCCCTCTGTCAAATTGTGCGCTGACAGTCGTCGCCAACTTAGAAAAACCGTCGATTGAAGCCCATATGAAAGCGGCTGAGAGGGAGAAGAACAAAAAGCTTATTGCACTTGAACTTAGTAAGATTGTTCGAGCAAATGGCACTTTTCGCACAAGCCCCAGCAATGATACAAAAATAAAAACATTTCCCACAATGATCAATGCTTGTACGGAAGGTAATGCTTTCAGCACTGTGGTAGCCGAATTTGATCCAAATGACTCCGTCACCAATGTCGTCAATGCATCCGATCCGTTGAGGGGCAGGTCATAACATTCTAAGCTACCAGGATACCCGATACATACGGCCTTAGTTCCCAAGGAACAATTCTGGGGAACTGCTGCAGTGATGAGGCTTTCGCCTGCTGCAATTGCGCTGGTGACTAGATTCGAAGCTTGTCCGATTACACTTGAGGCAACTTCATTGCCCTTACTGGCTACGTCAGTTGCCACAGTCGCAGCAACTGTGATGGCCGAGGTTAAGTCTTGAACAATATCCGTTGGATTATTGATGTTTAAGTGCTGCATAGAAGGAATACGGCTGAAAAGGCTAGAAAACTGGCCTCTGTCAGCTCGCGAATGCCTAGTAATATTGACTTTGCATTACCTCGATAGTGAAGATACCCCTTGACTGGTTGCTCTTGGTATCGAATGAAGTCCATGAAAAGTACAAAGATATCGTGATCACTATGACATATACTGCCGAGATTACGATGGACAAGGGAAGTTTGAAAACCATTTTGGTCTGATGACAAAGCAGTCTGTTCTGTGATGTGTCAATGTTTACATTATCAACTAGATCATAGTATTTATGCCAATACATTCAGGCAGTAAAAAGGACCAGTTCCGCCTTAGGGCGGGAACCTAAAATTATCCAAGAGCCATTTCTGGATTTTGATATTCCTGTGATATAAGGTTTGGACTCAACTCTAACCTCCTTGCGCCAGAAGCAAACCTGTCACGGGACAATCACTTTCTACAATTGGAAGAACGTTGCAGCACCAAGCGCATTTAATGGCTTCTTTCTGATACACTAGGCTCAAAGTTATTGCTGATAACGGACGAATGCTTCGAGGCTTGGAATCATGAAGTGTATACCCAAAGGGCGAGAAAGGGCTTGATCCTGCCAATTATACTTGCGCTTTGAAACGAAGTCGACGGATGAATCTACAGTAGCCCATATGATCCCATATATATTAATCACAACGTCAAATTAGCAGAGACGGCTGGGGTGGGTATTGCGATAAGGCAGCTCTATTGGTAATTTATTACCCTTGAGATGATACTGCAGTATAGTATCACCCTATGCAATTGCTGGGTTGTCGTAACGACTTCTGCTAATCCTGAAAACCGATGGATCATCGCGCGGAACCGAAACCCAATGCTTGGGGACAAAGTGGCTCTGGAATGCCTCCAGTAATCGAAATTGGAGAAAATAGGGCTAGCCACTGGTATTGAGAAACGACACATTTCAAGAGCCAAATCAGATTTATGCCTGAAATCTTTTCGGGACGCGCAAATGCAGGACCGCATTTTGGCCATGTTTCAAAACTAGTACTTTTTTGACTTCAACTGGTTTTGTACTGTACCTATCTTGCAAACGGGACGTTTCGTTTACTGACGATTAGAATACACGCGGCAACGAAAACGACAACTGCTTTGAGAGCAGGCTGCATCTGAACACCTCCGCTAGATCTTTGAATACATTAATGGCTACGGGGTGGTTGATGATCACCTGGAGGTCTATTGCAGGGCTATGATTTCATCGATACTGTTCCAAATACAGATGTAATCAATCACCCCAATATCCTCCAATCACAATTTCTAATGAACGAGGATTCGCTCCTGCAACTACACCAGCGACATTCTCTTGGCCGGAGCTGACGTCATCATAAGAAAATGCATAACCCTTTCCGTCTACCTCATTTTCGTGCACAATTCTGCTATAATGGTTGGTAGGGGTTCTCAGATAGTAGCTGGTGTTCGTTAAGGATGGCTGTGTACCCCCACCGTCCAGAAGCAGGGTGGTACGAGTAAAAGCCGCACACAAGCGTGGAACAACAGCACAGTGGACGTTGTTATCAGATTCCAGTATCGCAAAAGGCCCCGTACTACAGCTCCAGATATCCGCCGTCTGGGGCCGACAATAAGATCGGTTATCGCCGTCACAACTTAGCTCATAGTCATCACCCACGCGACATTTGATTGACTGATTTGTACCAGGGTTGAAAGTGAGATCTTCTGTTGCATATAGTTTCCAGACATGATCTACGTAGTCTGTGTAGTAACCTTCCATGGAACCTGGATTGATAGACTCAAACAGGTTTGGAGCGAGTACTCGGACGGGAAGACCATTTTCTGAATAAACACACATTTGGTCCCATGGCATACCGTCCAAATTAGTCTGCGTTTGCAAAGCAGCGCACACTTCCATAATAGCATTATCAACCACCCCTTTTACGACCTGAACTTCGCCATTATCAAGAGTCAACACCATACTCAGGACGAGTCCGACGAAATCTACAAAGGAGAGATTTGCGTAAAGTCCACCTTCCTCAGTGTATGTGAGTTCCAGGAAACCCCAGTCAACTTGCGCAGAAGCATCTTCCAGATCGGAGGCAGATGGTTCTTTCAGCGTTATGGTACCGTTGGCAGATTCCACGGCAAAAAACTCAAGCTCGCCTTCCGAAACCCACACCCGGCCAGCAGATATGTAGCCGGGAATAGTAATCTGAGTACTGTGCATGCCATTTACCTTACCCAGAATCGGAATGGCAATGGTAGTACTGTCAATTTTTGTGATCGCAGTTCTATTTAGTGTATCAGGGTAGTACCAGATGCCCGCAGTTGTCAGAAGCACAAGGTTGCCTTGCCCATCTGTGCCAGTTACGTAGGCATATATATCGCTTCCGTTGTAGTTATTTACGAACTTTAAAATTAGTGGATTGACAATTCCTCGATGTTCACTTCTGATCTGTCGAGTCTCCTGTCTCAAGTGAAAACGATGGTCGCTGAAAGAAGTGGCCGATAATGCCAGCGAGATCAGAAGCATGTAATGATAATAATACGGGGACAACATATCATTTCCTTCGTAGTGGTTCGTCTAAAAACAAATTGAATCGTGACTTCAGAGAGCTCAGCAAATAAGTACGGAAGTAGGATTGACTCTTTTCGTTGTCCGGTTATTGATCTTGAGCACCTGAAAGCAAGATTCGTCAGGATGCGGCATTGGTTCCAGGGTGATTGTAATTGGCGTCCGGAAGTGAATCCGTTCAGGGCCCACTTAGGCTATCATTCGTATGGGAACCTTGGGGCGACATATTTTGTGCATAATTGATGGCAGGTTGTACCTTAGGCCCAACTTCCGGAAAAGGACTTTTGAACTTCTGGTAAGTATGGCCAAACGTTCAGATATGGCTCTTCCGATAACGGAATGAGCTTGTTGTACCAGCCTTAGCTGAAGCTAGGCAACTCAGGGCGCTCAGGCACGGCTCAGGCTCGGCTCAGGGCAGCTCAGGCACGGCTCAGGCAGCTCAGGCTCAGCTCAGGCAGCTCAGGGCAGCTCAGGCTCGGCTCAGGCAGCTCAGGCTCAGCTCAGGCAGCTCAGGGCAGCTCAGGGCAGCTCAGGCTCGGCTCAGGGCAGCTCAGGCGGCTCAGGGCTTAGCTTAGGGCAGCTCACGTGGAGTCTGGCTTGAGACTCGAGGGACATACAGGGGTGCACCTGACCCAACTACTCCTACGCATTCGGAAGGCCCAATAATACACCTTAACGTATTTAAGTCACAGAATCACATACCCTAAACATAGTCCTTAAGCGATGTTTTGATATTTGATCTTCTGACGAAGGAAAAGCTTGTATATAATTGAACTCTACATCTTCCTGGGATGCGATGCTCTTCTAGATGTCTTCGGAGGGCTTTCGCTCATCTTTGACTGCTCTTACTTATACGTACCAACCCAAATATTAGCTTCTCTCCACGCTATACAGGGCCCTTCAAAACCTCATACTCTGTGTCAACCTTGTAAATATCATCTGTCCTATGCTTACGGGGCACGTTTCTCAACCAATGCCGAGCCAGTGATACTTGGGTCCGAAATAAGGTGGGTCTACACGAAGTGCTATTTTCACTAACAACCATACAAGTAAGCGGCAATTCACCAAACAATGTTGGAGTGCCTCAGTAATAGCGATGGGAGAGGGCTGACCCGGGAAAGGCATCCTACGCTACCATATGGACAGGCATTAGCAGCTCAATACCCGACTCAGTATGTGGCCTATGATTGAATGAAGCTTGTGAATATCTCACCGGGATTTTGGGCCCTTGGTATTCTGGCCCAGTTTATTTAAACACTTTTCTAATACAATTCATGCTTACGTACTCGGCAATGACAACGTTTATAGTCATTATTGCTGAGAATGTTACATTGTCATATGGGCTATATCAGAAATATCTGTCATTCGCACTGTTTACACAGATGCCTCGCCTCACTGTATTCATGTGCTTATTTTGCAACAAATACAGTATCACTGCGGCTCACATTTACGAAAATTCAAAATCAGAACAGAACGAGAGGAACGTTTCGGAAGAAATTAAGCATTACTGTGAGGCAGAGTTACTGAGCGATCGGGCGGTCGCCGAGCGGTCGCCGAGCGATCGCTATCGCTATCGATCGCTGGGGGTATTTCCAAGATTTGGATCGCCCGAAGTCGATCGCTGGATTCTACTTCGCGATCGCTATCGATGGAATTCGGGCCTTCGGTCGGCGATCGCTCGCCGAGAACCATAGATTTTGGGACCCCTGAAGAAGGACCCTTAGGTCCCCTAGAGCTGGACCTCGAAGAGTGCTGCATGGCTGTCTCTAACCAATGAGCCATAGCCAGCTGCCAAGATAATCTATCACATACAAAAAAGCAACAATTGTCGTAAATTTTGCAGGATGTTCCCTCCCTGCACTTCGCAGCGACTGATTGCCAGATCCGTAGATCGTAGAATTTATCAATAGCAATAGACGTCAGCAATAGTGACAGCAGCAAAGATAGTGAAAACAGCTCAATGCCCTTGAAGATGGCGAGCTCGTGTCTGACCTCACGTAGTCACACACCCTCTATTTCTTCGTCAACACAGCAAAGCTACCCAGACTATACGGTCTGGACCGCGGAGGCGTTTCAGAGGTATCCGGGCTATCTTGCTGCTCACTCCGTTACAAGGGAGCACGCTTGGTGGTGGAAACGTGGTTTTCGCCTCCAAAGAGCTGATCATACACCAACTGTCTTTTATTGGGTGTGTGAGCTCTGTTTTCTCGATGGCGCACCGCCCAAGGAGACGCGTTTCGTGTGCTCTACCAGCAAATCGATCACAACACACCTCAAACGGCGGCATGATATATCGGTATGCATAATGAGCTGATGCAACGCATTTAGAAGGTACTGACTGCGGTGACTCTCTGGTTAGGAACCTCCAAAGACACATACGAGTGCACCGAAGCTGCTCCGTCCTGGTGACCAACGTACCATCGACACCATGATTGATGCAACCAATCCACACGAACAGTCCCTTCACAACAAAGTCTCCCTTCGGTTCAATACCAAGCTCAACAACCTTTTGATTCTCGATTGGATAACGTGCACGAATCTACCATTCTTCGTCGTCAACAATGGTCGTTGGCGACGTCAGCAGCTGTACAACAACCCGTTGTTGAAAGACTCAGACCTACCGAGATACCAGACATTGATCGACCTCTTGATGGATGAACACAAGCAGGCAGTCGGTCCCGTCAAAACCCTATTGTCCACGGCGCGTAGCATGATTCATTTGACGTTCGATGGCTGGACTTCTCGCAAAATGGCCTCGTTTGTGGGTGTTCATGCGCACTTCATCGACTCGAACTTCAAGAAATGGAGGATCCTGCTAGGTCTACCAGCTCTGGTCAGCCGGCACACATGAATCGACGTTGCAGACGAGGTTCTCGCTGTCCTTGACTTCTACGGTATCAAGCAGCGTGTTGGATACTGCACCCTGGATAACGAGTCGAAAAACGGCACCTGTATGGCAGCAATCGGTCAGCATATCGGATTTGACAGCGCCGAACGGCAAATCAGCTGTGCTCCCCACTCCCTCCAACTGGCAGTCAGGGCACTGATGTATGGCGAAGGCTGTAAACGCCTCGACCTGGATGACTTGTTGCTGCCTTTACAGGACAGTGATCAAGACGAGGACGAGTTCTTACGCGACGCTTTCCGTCGAGCTGCTGATATGGCTGATGTTGATGAGGTTACTGACGAAGACGAGGATTTCGCAGCTGAGGAATTCGAGGATGCTATTCCTTCCGACCCCGAACACTCCGACGAAAGCTCTGAAGCTAATGATGACTATGTCTTCGAATTCGATGGTGTAGCCCCCAATATCTTGACCACCAAATCTTTGCACAAACATGAGAAAACCGGTCCTATCGAAAAATTACACAATATTGGGAATTGCTTTAGATCTAGCAGTCAGCTTGTTGAGCAGTGGCATAAGGCCCAGCAACAGGTGCAGCCTGATCAACCCATCCTAGAGTGGGTGTACAACAATGCGACTAGATGGCAAAGCGACGCTGCTATGGTTGAACGCGCCTTGTCCAAGAAGCTTGCGATGAAACGGATGATGAACACACTCCAAGAGAACTGGGACGCAGCCGGGTCTAAGCCATACGAGAAACCATCCGCCCTACAACATAAGCTTGAAGATGGCGATTGGAGACTGGTAGAGGTTATACACAAGATTCTACAGCCCTTCGCCGTTGCTTCTAAGCTTCTCCAAGGCACTGGTGAACCTGGTGAGCGTGCCACTTCTGGAGGTTTCGACGAGTATTTCCCACAAATCGAGACCTTATTGGACCACCTCGAGATGTGCGCAGCGGACAAGTGCTACCAAGAAGTTGAAGATCCTGATGATCCCGGTGGTCCGAAGATCCAAAGCATAGTACAAGTATTCGAGGGTCTTAATCGAACACAACGCAGGCTTCTGAAGCTTCACATCTGGATGGGTTGGTGGAAACTGCAGACCTACTACAACAGGATGACATCTTTAGCATACGCCGCTGCAGTTATTTTCAACCCTACTGTGAAGCTATCCGGTCTAGCAGAGATATTCAACACAGAGCCTACACGCCAGCGGCCTACATGGAAAGACGTATACATGAATAAGCTGAACACCAGTTGGGAGATTTACAAGAAGAGGTGCGTGTTGTATCGACATAATAGACTTTTCTAACTGCTCCAAGGGATATATTAGTGCCCGATAATCTCACAAACGCGGAAAATACCCTCACGAACTACCTCGCCCGCCGGAAGCGCTTCTTGAGTAGTGTGGACGACGCTTTGCAACCCCAACAACCTGTTGCGAAGAAGAAGGGTCGCGGACGGGGATCTCAAAGCAATCAACGGGTTACGAATCCGCCTCAAGACGAGCTTGCGGTGTATCTCATGGAACCCCTGATCGATATTGATCACTACCACAACAATCCAGTATCATGGTGGCGAGACGTTGGTTCACGACGCTTTCCAAGGCTATCTTACATGGCTGTCGACTTTCTCACGATACCTTCGTCTACCGCAGAAACCGAGCGACAATTCAGTAGTGTTGGTACTATGATATCACCAAAGAGGTCTCGACTGCGGCGGCATCTTGTTGCGGCAGCTCAGTGTATTAGGTCGTGGAGCAGATCTGGGGTCTACACGCCTGATTTGCCACTTTGGATCCTAGATAGGGCCTCAGATATGGACTTAGAGCAGAGTCTGAAGAAGGAGGACTTCTCTGACTATCTGGAATGATAGACAGCCAGAAAGGACTCTGGATACCTTCATTGATTGACCCGACTAAAAAATCTATGACCTTAATCATTAGGTCGGCGAGCGCTCGGCGAGCGTTCGGCGAACTATCGCTATCGATCGATCGATGGGCTATTTCTGAAGATTTGGATCGCCCGAAGTCGATCGCTGGTGTAAATGGCACGATCGCTATCGATGTCGGCGATCAGCCCTGAAGGGCTGATCGCCCGATCGCTCAGTAACTCTGCTGTGAGGTTTCTGGCCCTTCTCCTTTTGAATCTTTTGTTCTTCACGTTGACTTTCAACACTTCCTGACGCCTTACCATCTGAAGAGCCACTTTGTCAATAACTCTAAATACAGACCTAAACAAAACCTGCTTTCGCTTTGCTAAACCAAGATTGTTCCCACGGGAGCTGCTTCGGACTGTTGTAAATCAGAATTCGACCTTACTTGTCTCGTGTTGACCAAAATAGTTAGGGGCCATTTGGCGAAATTATTATTACATCACCTCAAAGTCCATCGTCAGCGCTTCAACTCTGGATTGGCCAATGTGAAAACTACAGGCTGCAGCGAAAACTGCGAGATTTTTGCGTTGAGATTTTGGAAGTGATAAATGGCATGATATAACCACATTTGGGTCTGTCATCTGAAGGAGGGGCCTAAGTGACTTGCAAACGCTGGAAGACCGGTTTGATAGTGCGAAAACAAACATCATACCGCAGTACGATTCCAGCGTAGCGAAGGATGGCCGTTGTGTATAGGGATTAGGCCTTGCCTCATTGACTTGCATAGCGGTGGAATATATCTCTCAGGCTGACCAAGATTCCAAACGTGGTTCCTGGGAGAACTTTTTGTTGCTCCCAACGGCGGAAGTCGGTTTTAGTACCGTTTATAGAGCAGAATTCGCTTTTAGGTATTTTTGTCGATCATGCAGAGTTAGAAACCGGCCAAATACTGTATGTACAGCGACGATCAACTGATTGAATGGAATTGTGATTTATGCGCATAGAACTTGACAGACGTTCGTGCTATATCAATTCCGCACAATTTTAATGGGTAGGTAGCCAGGAAATAGCGCAGATCAACGTTTTCATCGCAATTTCTGCGAGTTCCAGCTTCGTTACGGCAGGTCAAACGCTTTTCCTGTTGGATGGTCCGAGTACTGTTTCCCGAGAAGTGAATGAGGTTTGACATCATGGTGGGCATCTGTAAAAGCTCCAAAATGTGCTGCAAGACCTTGGCTTCGACGTTGGCACCACAAACAGACCTCTCCTTTACCTTTGTGACCAGTATCAGTTAGCTTTGTCCATACTGTACTGTACTGTATAAACACAGATTGTTCATCGTTCATGATGTGTTCGCCAGAGAAGTTAAATCCCAGCTTGTAATCATCCGAATTTATATTATTCGGGCTCTACTCGTTCTGACAACGTGCACCTCCTAACACAACAATACTACGCGATGCATGACTCAGGGAAACGGAATATAAAGCGTGATCGCAGCAACGAAAACTTTGCAAAGGCCACTAGAAGCTTGCTTGGAAGATGCGACGATGTCCGATCACGGTATTCTGCCGACGTTTACATCTTAATCCGACGGAGATCCAAGCATTACGAGTATACATCTTCTGAAGCCTCTTCATGGCCAACATCGAGGGACGAAATAGCCGTAACTTTCCCCACCCCTGTCAGACTTACTCCTGCCAGCATTGCAGGGTACTGCACTAAGAGAAAGGCCACTATTGGGGGTTCATCCGGAGTAGCTCAGCGTTCTAACGGCGAGCGTGCTATTCCCACAGAGATCGAAAAGGATGTCAAGAGCTGATCCCGCTCTACCGCTCCCCATTAGTTTTATAGTGTATTGGGCGCGATATTCATTCCCTTCGTCATGTAAACTTGGAGTGAAGTGGAAAATCACAAGGGCTCGCGGAGTTCGGAAAGGCGGAATCAATATATCAAGCCAGTGATTTCATGAAGTAAAATTAATATGATGAGATGGAAGATCATCTAGGTTGATAGAAATCCAAGTTGATAAGCCTTTCTGAGAAATATTCCTGTGGGTTCCCATGGCATGGCCCATATGAAATATGGCTGCAGAGTGATATATTGTAGAACAGAAATTGGACAGTCACTACTTAAAGCAAATAATTTTCAACCAGTTGGATTTGCTGAGCAACGGTAAGATAACAAGACTAGAACATTATTTTTCAACTTGGGTTTTTACTCCCAGAACAACTCAACCGATACCAAAGGTAGCTTTAGCCCGGAAGCTAAACAAAATAATATCAAAGCAAGGCGAACCCGCTTGGGAGTGGTTTTCTTCAAGGAGGAATCATCCCCGTGTAAGCTCCCTTGATAATCTCGTTCCACAAACTACTGGAAGTTCCAGGTAGTTCCGAAGGCGCGAGACCCCAAAATACTCCAAGAAATATTCGTCCATATGTTCCATAATATCATGTCCACCATGGATGTTGTACCAAATTGGGACAAAAACAATGAAGGGGACCGGCCAATTCCGCCAAGAAATTCGCACAATACCACAAATTTGACGGAGAAATGCTGAACTTCGCCCCAGATCTATAAGGGAGTTTAGATGGCCAGCAATTTCTTTTTGGTACTGACTCTCGGACCCAATGACAAACGCTATGTCGTGCTTAGGTTGCCGCTCCTCCAAGCACATTAATGGCAACAAGTCTGCAGTGTCTCCTTCATGTGCACCATCAATTGAGAGTCGAAGTTTCCGAGCCGTATTTTCCGCCATGGGGTGACACCTCATATAGATATTAAGGTGCCTGGATTTTATTTCATGCGTGCTGCTGTTGATATGTGCCCAAAGTATAGGTTCCCATACTTGATGAAGACGATGGCAGGTCCGAATCAGACCAAATACCCCCTTGGCGCGTTGTTCATTGCTCTTTCTACGACTTGACGACGTCCAAGATAGTTTCAATCGTATATCATCGGACATAGTATACTGACATATGGTAATTCGAAGCTCTACATAAAAATCAGCTTGCTTTAGATGGCTATACATAGTACATACCTGGAGGTAGTGACAACAGTAGGACTGGTAGGCTTATTCCGTTTGAAGGGTCTATCGTGACCGCTGTATTGTGTGGCATCATGAAAGTCAAGGTAGAATATGATAAAATCAACGGCAATGATTTTTCGTTCTTCACGGACATTCATGGAGGCAAAAGCGGTTTTATAAACAGTCAACACACTCGGACCTACATTAGTCGCGTCAAAGCCATCAAATACGGCATGATTATTACGCCGGTAAGTTCGCCTTTAGGTTGGCGGTAGTCGTGGGCTCGGCTGGAAGTTCCAGCGATTATGTCTCGGGCAGTATTCATAGAAAAGGTATAATCAGGCGGGATGCACCGAGGTCCGGTCCACCATTATGGTTTGTGTCCAAAATCGACGACTTCGTTCGCGAAGGTTTCAGAATCATGCCAAATATGTCACTGAATTATGATGAGTCTGAGAGTGGGCGATTCTTAGTTCATACAGTGAACTCGTCCGCTTCTTGGTCATGTCTAGGTACTGGATTGAATTGAAACCAGACGACTCGGAGAAGCTCTACCTTTCATTATTATTGCGCTTAATGGTCTCGATGTTGCGGAAGAGGACTTCATCGACGAAGAAGATGTTGAAACCCTCGGCGAAACGATATTCACCTCGCGGGCTGGAGTAATTGGGGCGCAAGTATTGATAGAATTAGAGATACACGATGTGCCGAGTGTTATTGAATTTGATGTACAAGTGCTTTCAATTGTGTTTAGGACTCGTAAATCCTTGAATTTGATTAATTGATTATATCTGAACATGGGGATCGTCCCTTATTGGGGCAAACAAGCCTCCTAGAGCCATATATCGCAGGGTTTTGGAGGTATCAGTATCTATATACACTCCAGCCTGCGCATGTGCTGATCCACGCTGTTGTAGGATGTAGTTAGGGGACCCAGTCTCCGTCAGTTCAAGCATCCCTTCATCTCGGGCATATTCTCGTAAAGAATCCACTACCCTCTACAAACGCGCCCATTGCGCGATTATCTCCCCTGAATATTGTGTAACCCCCCCCCCCCCCCCCCCCCCCTTGGCGCGTGCCTCGGGGCAGTCTGTGTCCGTTTAATTCCTACAAAAGAAAACGTGCTCTGGTGTCTCTCTCTCTCCGCAACTGCAGTGATTGGTTGACTTCGTGTGTCCGAATCGTTCGTGATATGCTGCAAAGTCGCGTGGCCAGATCTTGCTGCTAGGAGCCTGTGCAGAGTAGCTCTTTCAAATGAGACGAGGTCCTTTGACACCACCGCATATGAATACACATCTCTATACCAGGATTCGTCTTGCGTCTTCTACCAGCGGAGGAATTCGTCCTTTCTCCTTCCCTTAAGGTGTCGCCATACCCATGCGACCCGTACGTCCTTGAAGAGATTGGTTCATCACACTCAGGAGATTCAAAGGACTTTCCATCCTCTACAGTCAGTAACGAAAATGGGTTCCACCTTCAGGACAAGCATTAGTATCTACAAGAGCCGATTCTGGATGGTGAATGCCGGATACGGGAAATAACCCGAGCTAACCGATTTAGGCAATATAGGCCAGATGTTCATCATTGCTCTCAACCAAGTTCTAGAAAATGGGAAAACACCTAGAGCGAGGCCTGCCAGCTTGAAGATCTATTTAATATAGCAACAACATGAATGTCCCGTCAGAAGACGTTTCTAGTGCGACTACTTGCAGAGCTGTGACCCAGAAAGGTGAAGTCTATTTGGGTAAGCCAGAATTAATCTCACATTTCTGGGAAGAATCCGGAAATAGCTCTTGAAAGAAATAATTTCGTCCACAAGAGCGGAAGCCGATTTCGTTACTGACTGCAAGTACTTGAAAACATGTGTTTCATTTCTAGCCAACCGACTACGTACAGTCAGTAGCGAAATTTTCTTACGCTCATATGGACGAAAGCCATTTCTCCCGAGAGTCACTTCTGGTTTAGCGCATAGTCCAATACTGGCCGTGCGCTCCTATAGATACTATGAAGAACGGTCTCACCCACAGCCCGAGGTGGATTTCGGTTGGGTCTCATCAAATTATCCTTATGCAACAAAACGGCTTCTGATCACAAGTGATTCAATGAATATTTCACAACAAAAAGTCTTTCTTAATAGTGCCTCGGATGACGTAAAGGCAGGTGTTTTAGATATCTTGATGGAAATGAGACTATCTAGTGAAGTTTTGAAACTTTCACTACAGAGAGCAGCAAAATAATTCTTCATCCTTCCGCTCGCCAAGACACGAACTCAGCGTTACGATAGTATAATTGCAGGCGAGTTGCCCCTATCTGTTCAAAGTGTCAAATTAAATCAAACGCTAAGAAAAGAGGTTATTTCAACCCATTAGAGACTCTGATGGAATTATCTCACGTCAGCGCCATTAATGGTGGAAAGAGTCTCACTTCCAAGAACCCGTCGGGTTGGTTCAGCAGAAACGAACTGAGTGTACGGAGAGACTGTGTGAAAACCTTTTCAGGCTACAGACTGAGAGCAGCACAGGACTTTATGGGATGCAGCAGATGCGAACTCGGAGAACATCGTCTTGAATTAAGTGTTTACATAGAAATTGAGTCATATCAGGGTTTCTCAGGCAATGGGCCCTTCAATCTCGTTGAGTATTGAACATATGAAGACCCAACACTTCGCCCAGGATACCGACGACTGAAATATTTATGGATTTCTTTCTAATATATGCTGCTTCTTCTTTCAGCATGATTGATAGATAATCTTCTTTTGTGCTAAATGCTCTTCTTTCGCGGCGCGTGGTTGCGATATGTTAGTCGCCGGTCTCCTAGGGTTGTCGAGGACATTGCGTTCTAACATTACGCAGCAACCAAATTTGGTTGCATCACTGGATTCTGTGGATATATATTTCCTTACGATCGTAAAACTGCTTATGACCAGTAATCGTATGTATATAGAATCTAAAGTCCTGAAATGTATTCGTTACTCTGAAGTCAATAAAGCTTCGCTCGAAAGCGTGGTTAAAAAGAGAATAGAGTTCGAGCCTATTAGGAGTCTAGACCTATTCCGATTCCTCGAAAGATGCTAGAGCTAAACCTAGACAGTCTCTGGACTGTTCTATTTTGTCATTCTCCTTCTCTTTTCGGTCATTATACGCCAGTGCTGCTCAACAGCGCCTTGGCTGCGACCCAACCTCTCTGCAATCTCTGGCCAGTCCTGCTTCTCTTTCACGTATGCCCTTAGGCGGTGTTCTTCGAGTGAGGACCAAGCCTTTCGAGGTCCTTTTCGAGGTTCCTTCCGAGGTCTGCCACGTTGACGATGCCTCAGTGTCGCGTTGCGTGGTGTACTAGCAGGCGTGTAATTGTCTTCTTCCTCAATGTCAGAAAGTCCCCAGTCATCTGAGCATGCGATTCGCTTGCTTGAGAGAGATTCGTCAAGAGATGCACTGATACTGGGCGTTTCCGTACCCCTATAGCCACTGCCGGGTTGAGTCATGGTTGGTCTGTCTGCGCTGTCCACGGACTGAGTTTCCGTTCCGCGTTGCTTGGGCACCGTCATTCCCAAAGCATAATCCCGCAAAGCCCAAAGACTTAGTTTCTGCATAGCCGTAGCCTTCTGTCCATCGGATAAAGGCACGCTTCTGTTGACGAGATCGTCCCATGGTACAACATCACATGAGAAGAATTGCAAGGCTTTTTCTGTCAAGTATAACACTTGTCTTGCGTCAAACCCACAATGCTGACAACACTTCAACTGACGCAGCGATTGCGAACTAGGACATGGGAGAAAACCTTTGTTCTCCAGATGACCAGCCAACTCTTGCGGCCCGGAACGACATTGATCGAACTCGGTGATGGGTTGGTCTGGTGAAACAAATGATCTTGTCTTTGAACGCGAATGGTCTGCTTGTCCTATGAGGATCGATTGAAAACAGGTGTCTCGGGTGTTTTCCGATCCTTCCGTCGAGCCAGTATTTGCATGTACATGTTTTGCGGCGAAGTCCCTCTCGCGGGGAATGTGTGACCGTGATTGGTTTCCGTGGTCGAAATCTCGCCCAGGATCAGATGACTCAAACTCTGTCATTTCTTGATCAAGTGAAATTGTGTCGAAATGTTCCGTGCCTTCTCTGCTCCGCTGTCGACGCAAACGTTTAGTGTGAAGATCCCGCGCTTTTAAGGTCGCACATATTGTGTCAGGTAATGTCGATGGTCCGAAGTGGGTATTCTCTATTCCATTCATCGTGCCATCATTTGAAGAAGTAGCGATGAAAGTTTCAGCTTCTAAGTCTGTCTGAGTTCCTTGAGCTGCTGAGCACTGTTGAGAGTCCTTTTGGGAGGCGGTACTCATTGGCGGCCCAAGTTCAACTTGGACTATCGCGTCCATATCACCAGCTATTGAGTAACCGCGTGATTGACTCCCGCGAGCCTCAGACTCACATCCATTCATGACAGCGGGGTGAGGACGATCGTCCGGCTGCATTGGGTGATGACAGCCTATCAGGACATGACCGTTGAGCTGGTTTGCTCCAACGCTGGTACACGTATGATTTGGTTCAATAGACTCATTCAAATGATCTGCAGCAAGTGTATTCTGGGAAATCGTGACGTTGCTCGTGATCAAAGGAGTCGAACTATCTTGAAGGCCGACATACTATTAGGAAGATAAAGAGTGACCTGATTCGGAAGACGTCATACCTGGTTTTCTTGTTCTTTCCAGATTTTGCTCAGGCACCAACAGCGACATGATACTTCGCGGTCTTGATTCTAATTCCTGTCGCTGCTCTTGATCCCGATCTTTTTGGAGATTTCGCGTCTTCCCCTTACTGCGAGATTGTCCAAAGGACTTGATGTTGTTATTTATAAATTTGAATTCCACCATGTTCTCAAATGCTGGGCATGCAGTACTTGGTGTTGTAATAGAAAGATCAAATGGTAATGCTGGATGATATGGGACAAGTAGACGTCGAAGCCGATGATGCAGCGACCCTTTAAGTATTTTGAGAAAAACGCTTGCACGACAGCCTTTTGTCGTCCTTATGAGCTTAGGACAGAGAAACAGGCAGAAACGAGGATGCCGTGCCGCTAAACTAAACGGGCAAAATTTTATTCGTAGATGCCGTCTACGGATCCTCTCATTTGGCCGATACAGTCGAGCCTGAGTGGACTCGGGCAATCTTGTCTGCATGCTCCGGTTGACAGAGTCTCGGCATCGCCGAAGTGCGTCGATCGCGTACACACGATGATGCCTTGTAACCATACGCGGGACTACTCAATATGAGTCGATCTAGGCTATCGAGCCACGTACTTCGGAGGGGATCCAAGCACTTCTTTTCTGCACGCAACAAGACACAAACATAATATTATCCTAGATCGTTTTTGGAAGGCTCTAGGTCTTGCTCTAGGGATCGATCCTGTCCACGTTACGCTGAAAAGTCCGAGAAGTATTACCCACTTCGGAAAGACTATCAATCTCCTTTTCAGGTCGGCACGTCCATGTGCAACAATATTTGTGTTTCCGTAAAAGGTAACTCCTTGCGCTTGTCTTAGCAGCTACACGGAGCTCTTATCGATGTCTGACTTCCAGCGCCATGGCTGATCCAGCTATCGCTGAGATTGCGCTTCGTGTAGAACCATCTACAGCCTGTAGATCAAACCGCTGGATGTTGTTTCCAGTACATGATCCAAGCAGAAAATAATGGTTGATCCTTGAGATCTGCTTCGTGATTTCCAGGCCTCTCCTTTGTTTTGCGACCGGTTGCCTTAGCAGACATATCACTTACCACAGAAGCAGTCTGGAGGATTTGTTCGCCAAAGACTCAGGTACTTCATCCGTCCTTGAAGCAGATTGCGATCTTACCAGCACACCTATCCCTTGAATGGCTAGCACAAAGACCACAAATGGATGGAACTAGAGCCTGCCCAACATGTAATCCCTTACAGGGATTGCTAAGTTGAGCAAGTTGGAATTCTCAAACGGCAGTAGACGGAATCGATCCCTGATTGGCACCTACTCTCGTCGTAATTTTTCAAGACCGGATCTGTGACGGCAATGCTGACCCTGGCACATAGTGTGATATCAGCAAATTGTGTAGTCTAGCATAACAAGCTTGTGAGGGAAGTGGCCGTGGGGGCAACAGATTCTCAGCCCCTGCTCAATTGCGGAAACCTCAGAGCCGGCTGCGACCCTCTCGAGTGAGTAGCCTATCACTGAACATATCCGACCTTGATGTGGCCAAATGTGTCGTTCTCAATGCAGGTAAAAACGCCTCATGTTATCTGCATACTACATGAGCATTTGGTCGACGGAGCCCGCTGGGGCGTAGCAAATGATTGCTTTCCACTCTCTTCTTTCCGTACCTTGATAGGACTGTTCACTTCGTGTTTCCGCGTACTAGGCAATAGCTGTCTCCTCATTTCAGATCATTTCCCAGGGCCCTAGCTAGAGTCCAGCACAATATTGTGCAGGTTGGGTTGAAAGCAGTGGGGATCGTTGCCTGTTTAGTAGAGTCAGACCCTTCCTTTCCCAATAACCAGGAGCGTAGGAAGATCCAACGTTTCCCGAGTAAGGCAACTCCTTCCGGTTGTTCTCACGGTTCACACAATCGGACTTCTTGTGTCTGCCTTACCATCGCCTTCATGACCTCGGCGGCGGAGACAGGAATAAGCAGGAGCACTTTCAGACTGATCTCTGATCTCGTGCCATCCTGCAGTTCGGCTTCTCAGTAGAGAGAGAATGATAAACCGCAATGACAACGCTACCTGCGCTCAACGTCCCTAGACCGCTAACCCTACTGATACAGAGCCTGGCTGAGCCTCCCCCTTTACAGGGTTACTATATTTGGAGATTCCAAGTATCCATCGCTGAACCAGTCTGCGAAATCAATTCGCGCATCAGCAGCCACTCATAGTCGTCAGCTCGCAGCCACTGGATTCATCTCGGCAACGCCGCCATGACAGGTGAGGTGGAAGCGGGGTCACTGCAGAGTCTGGCAACGCAAACCAAGAATTCAATAGCCTCGAAGGTGAAGATTTTTCAAGCCTGTAACAAATATGGGAGCCCCGGCGCCGGCTTTGAGTGTATCGAGCACGTAGCTTGTGCTGCCAGCCCTCCAGGATCCCAGGGATATACCTCTGGTCGGTGGTAATGGTCTACGGCACATAGGGATATCGGCGAGTGAGTGATTCGAATCGTATGTCGGGCTGCTACAACGCTTGAATAATAGACAATGAAAAAGGGTGGTTGCGGCTGATGGATATGCTTTGTCGTGATGATAGATGGGATGTCACGCGGTGATATTCAGCATGTAACTTGCACGGAAAAAAAGGATTGGCAAAGGTACAAAGAGAGATTGGGAGGTACAAAGACAAGAGTGGAGCTTGTCTCTGGTTTAGAGCAGCACAAAAGCGGCGGCTAATAGGCCCACGGGTACCCGTGGCTGCAAAATCCCACGGACCCGTGGCGACAACCAATTAAGCTTAGCGCCATTGGATTTTCTATGCCAACCCGCACAGAATCAACCTTGAAGTGCCGTGTACGTTTCGACATTTCCTTTGTGTTGCAAAATTGATCGCCTTTAGAAACAACATCCTTTGATTATTGTAGCTATTTGGCGTCCTGGGGTCTTGATTTGGAGCGGCTAGCCCTTTTGCCTATTGTTAATTCGTAGCCATTAGATATGAAGCTATCTCTTACACGAATTTGCTTTTTTGAATCACCTAACGCGTCGCGTCTGAACGTAGTAACATCCAAATCATATCTTCTACTGTGAGACATTTTGAACCGTGACTTACACTATAACCAAGATGAATACCGTCCAAAGCCAACAGGCAGCTTCATTCCCCAACGACTGTCTTCCTCCAGAAGGCGACTACAATAGTCGAGAGAGCTTAGTCCAGGCGATCAACACTTGGGCATCTACAAAGGGTTACGCATTCGTAACTGGAAGATCAACCAAAGAGAAGACGGGTAGATATACTGTCACATACGCCTGTGATCGTTTCTATCATCCCCCAAAATCGTCCAAGGAACGGCAGCGCAAAACCACTAGCAGAACAACCGGTTGCCCATTCTCGATACTAGCAAAGGAAGCTCAGAACGGGACCTGGACCATTCGGCATCGTCCTGATAAACGATTCTCCGTTCATAACCACCGACCCAGTCAACGTCCATCTGCACATCCAACCCACCGAGCACTCTCTACACCGGATATAACGCAAATCCAAAACCTCAGGAATGCTGGAATAGCTCCCAGAGACATCAGAACGTATATGCGCCAGAATACAAGCTCAATTGCAACGCAGCAAGATATCTATAATCGTATCGCTGACGCTAAGCGGGATCTTTGCGAAGGTCAAAGCACTATTCATGCACTTGCGGACCAGCTATTCAAAGAAGGCTTCTGGAGTCAATTCCAGACAAATTCAGATGGCCGAGTTACAGCAGTTCTATTCGCCCACCCGCAATCATTAGGATATCTTCAAACTTATCCAGATATTCTGATCTTGGACTGTACATATAAGACGAACAGATATGGAATGCTACTCCTGGACATTATTGGAGTTGACGCCTGTTAACGATCATTCTGCATTGCATTTGCTTTTCTCGATGGCGAAGCTGAGTCGGATTTCTTTTGGGCCCTAGACCGCCTCAAGTCACTTTACCAACTGTGTAATGCCCGGACGCCCTCCGTTATACTAACGGACCGCTGTATAGCATGTATGAATGCTATTAGTACTTGCTTCCTAACCGCAAACTCGTTATTATGCGTTTGGCATGCAAATAAGGCTGTTCTTCGGTACTGTAAGCCTACCTTTGCGGAGAACGAAGAATGGAACGAGTTTTTCAAACATTGGCATGCAATTATTGGGTCGCCGGATGAAGAGAGGTTCAATGAACGTCTGCTCCAGCTCGAGAAGAAATATCTTCCCACGCATCTTGACGAAGTTGGATATATAAAGAAAACCTGGCTTGATCCTTACAAAGAGAAGCTTGTGAAAGCTTGGGTTAATCAGCACCCTTACTTCGACAACGTTGTTTCTTCACGAGTTGAAGGTATCCATTGGCTCCTAAAGAGTTACTTAAAGGTGTCTACCTTAGATCTCTTTGACGCTTGGAGAGCTATTAAGCACGCATTACAAAACCAGCTTATAGAGCTACGGGATAACCAAGCTAAACAACAGATTCGAACCCCTCTTGAACTCTCGGGAGTACTATATAGCATAGTACGTGGTTGGGTATCACATGAAGCCCTTCGAAAGGTCGAAGCACAGCGGAAAAGATTGTTCGAAAGCAATCCACCTCTTTTAACTATCTGTACTAGTTCCTTTACCCGATCTTAAGGGCTACCTTGTGCCTATAGGCTAGAAGGCTTATTGGCATACGATAAGGCCTTACAACTTGAAGACTTCTATCCACACTGGCGTTTAGCTCGTGAAGATACTCCTCGATTGCTGTTGGAGCCTCGCCAACGTATTAGTCCGATTGCTGCTTCTTCGTCTTTACCGCTATCAAGTGTTAGGCGAGAGCTAAGTGGATTTGAAATTGTGCAACAAGCTATTACGCCATCAAAAGCACCACCCCTTTGCAGTAAATGCCATGTATTAGGGCATACGAAAGCGTCAAAGGACTGCCTACTAAGGTATTCAGAACTGATAGCCCGGCCAGTCATAAACGTCGAATTAGAACAAGATCAGCCAACAACGACATCAAAGGGTAAAGACGTCCTTCCGGCGGAGCTTGATACGGTCGAAGAACAGATTGTGTTACAGCTAACTACTGACTCAGAGCTAGCTGCAAGGATAGGAAACGCCGCTGAATCAGGTATCCGATCGCCTACCAAGTCTACATCCAGTCCGGTGACATCACCTAAGCCAACGACACCAGTTAGGTCTACAGTAACCTCGCCGGTCGCAGTCTCTAGCCCACCTTTGAGATATAATGATCCACGGGCGATTTACCAGAGATATGTTGCCGCAAGGGACGCCTGGTATAAAGCCCAACCCCCTGGAAAGTTCTTAGGTAATAGGGACTATCGAAGGGCAATGGGTTTACCAGTGCGAATCAAGAAAGCAAGTT